CTTATTCTTCAACTCCCATTTTTCATCACCTATGGACATGGTGTATTGCTGAAAACAATAAAAATATATAAATACACTTTATAATTAAAATTGACTACAAATATCTAGTGAGCAACAAAATACAAATAAATATGCAAATGATATAAACTATCTGTGCAACTGTGAAGTACTAATATAGCAATAACAAAAAACAAATTGATATGCAAATCATATGCAACAATTGTCAACTAAATATGCATCAGAAGTAAATTAGCTATACATGTTACAAGAAACAAACAACATATTGTTCTGCAGACAATCTGCATAATTTGACAACTAAGTATGCATTAAAAAAAAACTATCGATGCATCATTTAAGGACTAATATAGCAAGAACAAACAACATATTGATATGGACAAGCTATGCAAGAATGAACAGTTAATTATGCATCTAAAATACATTATCTATGCATATATCAAGAACTGAATTAACAACAATATAAAACTGATAAACTTACACATCTGCCAACAACTAGTATATCAAAAAGAGTTGGCAAAAATAAAAAATAAACTTACACTGATATAGGTAGATGAAAAAAATCTCAGAGGACAGCAAGATTCCCTAAATTTTTCTTTGGCATTCAGAATTGTTGACCATATATCAAGAACACCAACCGTAAGATACCCATCAACGTTCAATGATTCAAGCTGCTCTTTCATGATCATAGCATCACCAAATTTAAAAATTACATCAAACCTAACAAGAAAAATATAATAATTAATTATAAGTAGTTGTAAGCAGGATATGAAAAATTAAAATTAATATAGATAAGTAGGAAAAGTTACTTAGTCTCCTCATCATCTTCAACAATCCAGTTGAAAACAACACTTGGCTCTAGAACATCAACCAAATGTGTATCCTCATCCTTGCCCGTCACACTCTGAACTTTCTTTGACCTTTGGTACTTTCTTACTCTCCTCAGCATCTTCACAGGTCTTTCTTCTTCTCTTTCTCTTTTTTCTTCAACAAACTGAACTTTCTTTTTTTGTTTCTTCTTCTCCATCTCAACAACCGCTTCTTGAACATTACCAAGAGCTGCTTCTTGAACACAAACATGCTGCACATCAATTGTTGATTCAACAGGAATGTCAGAAATTATCGAAGTTGGCACTTCAACAGAAACATGAGTCTCAACAGCTGGTTCCGCAACAGCCACTTCAACAACTGGTTCAGAAATTGGCACTTTGGCAGGGACTTCATCAGAAGTTGGCGCTTTGACAGGCACTTCATCAGAAGTTGGCACTTCAACAAAAAAAAGAGTCTCAGCAGCTGGTTCCGCAACAGACGCATCAACAGCAACATTTGGGATTGTTCTTTCACCTCGAATATCGTCAACATTCAATGGATCTTCAGAAAATTGCTTAGAAATATTAAGAACATCATCCCAACTCCGGTCACTTTCTTGAGACAACCCAATTCCCAAAGAAAAACTCGGAATATCATCCATTGTCTTTTTGAATTGAGCTCTCTTTTCAATGGCTTGCTCAATCTTCTCGATTGCTGCAATGGTTTCTGGGTTATTCCAGAAAGCATTCGTTTCCTCGCTGTCATCAAAATCATCTGCAGCAGCAGGTCTTTGTGAAGATTCAGGATTCTTATGAATTGGGAGAAATGAGATTCTTCGTTGCTTCATGAATCTTCTTGTAATTCTCATCAGATGTCACCTCCTCAGGTGCATCTTGAAGCAACGAAATAACATCAACAACATCAGTGGCCAAACAGGCAACTTTGCTCAGAAGCTTTGATCTGTACACCTGTTAAATAAAACTAAATATGCATCAATATAGGTGTACATATGCAGCACCTAAGCAGTAACCATGCACAACAGATGAACTAAGCATTAACCACACAATATGCAACTCATATGAACTAAATATGCAACATATATGAAAAACATATGCAAGTGATACTAACTAAATATGCAATAAAAAACAGGCAACTTTGCTCAGAAGCTTTGATCTGTACACCTATTAAATAAAACTAAATATGCATCAATATAGGTGTACATATGCAGCACCTAAGCAGTAACCATGCACAACAGATGAACTTAGCATTAACCACACAATATGCAACTCATATGAACTAAATATGCAACACATATGAAAAACATATGCAAGTGATACTAACTAAATATGCAATTAAAAACAACTAAATATGCAACTATTATGAACTAAGCATCATAAAAGAAACAACTAATATGCAGTCATATTAACTAAATATGCAACAAAAACCAAACAAAGAAATAACAAACCTGTACAGGATCATCAGAAATATCCTTTGATTCAGGCTTCTTGAACTGTAAAGTCGAAATCTCCATCGGTTCATCAACAAATCCCCGTCCAAAACCACCCACCTTAATTTCTTTAGAGCATCGTCGACGGAGAATCCCACAATTCCATCCAACAAACGAAGGCAGACTCCTTGGAAGAACATCTCGTTCATAAATCACTACCCGATCAACATATAAAACCTGCATTTTGACAAAAAAAAAATAAATAAATAAATAAAAATATCAAACAATAACAATCTAAACAATTTACAAGAAAGTAATATAGACATGAATACTTACCACAAGAAAAAGAACAGGACCATTAAATTGAGACTTATTACTGTTGTGCCAGTGATCAGTCTTTGATATAAGGTTCTGAATGACGTAGTCGCACCAATTCAACTCAGAAACAGCTGATACATCAGAAATAGACTTGAAAAAAAGAGGATTCACATATCCAGATTGATTTGTTCCCACAATCAGACAATCCACGAGAGCAAGAAAATGTAACTTGAACCAGTAATCTCCATCAACACACTCCATCATTTTATTGCATACAACATCGGGGGTAACTTTCAATGAAGACTGGCCAAAACAACCCTTCCACTGATTCAACAAATCACACTCCTCAGATTTGTTTTTCTTCTCAATAGACTTATCACCATTGGAGAAGCCTAGAACACGCTGAACGTCCAAAGATGAGACATGAATACTTCTTCCTTTCCCAAATTCAAGCTGACAACTAACAGGATCAAAGTTCGACAACAACCAGTGCACCAACTGACACGGAAATTCTTTAATTTTCAGATCAAACAGACATCCAAAACCCATTTGCTCAACAGCTATTCGCTGTTTTTGGTTAAAAGATTTCATAGCGTCCACAAGAATCTTGGGAGAAGACCGAGTTAACGCTTTTGGGAATGATTTATTACTATCCAACTGACCTTCTGTGCCATCAGTAAGCAACAGAATATCATCAGCATCTGCCCTTTTACGCTTGCTACTCTTACCACGAGGCATACTTCAAGAATATCTGACTTACAATAACACAAAAATGAAATAAATTATATGATATATACTAATTAAAAATAAATGCGCATTATAACCAACTACATATGCAACTCATATGAACTAGATATGCAAAATCAAAACATGTCATCTAAACTAGATATGCAACTGATATGAACTAGATATGCAATTCATATAAACTAAATATGCAACTCATATAAACTAAATATGCAATATCAACCAACGATATCAGAACATTGTAGATCTAAAACATGCAAAGATATAACTATATATGCATAAGTTATTAACTAACATAGCAACAATACAAAGAGTGTTCCTCTACATTCTAAAACTAAAAATGAAAAAGACATACGATATTTATGCATTCTACAAGCCCTAATACAGAGACGAGAAACAACGAAATGTTCTCAACAGATCTAGCACAAAAAACAACTAAATATACATAGAAAATATACTATCTATACATTATTCATCAACTAAAATAGCATAAAATAGGGTTGATCACCACATAATTAGCATAAGAAAAACAATGCCGACGATATATAACCACAATAACCTAAAAAAATCAAAACAACACAGGAAAGTAAAATAAAAACAAATATACTCACCAACTTGCGAGAAATTGGAACTGCAACCACGACGATATTGAGAGAAATCGGAAGATAACTCAAACAAAAACCGAAAGCGAAGAACAGATGATGAAAGACGCCGACGAAAACTGAATCCGCAAGGTTTGAAAACTGAGATAGCGTCGAAAATGAGATAATGATGAGAGAGAGCGCCAAAGGTATAAGGAAACGAAAAAAGACAATGATGAAGAGAGAGCATTGAAAACTCAAACGTTTTGAAATGACGGGACAACATAAAACCGCGAACCAAATCATTATTTAAGAGGCTGCTACTGACCATCAGATCGAGCGAGAAATAAAGGGCTGAGATCTGGTCTCACGGACACACTTTAAATATGTCGCTAGACGTTTGGATTTATGATTTCTGTTAAAAAAAATATATTTATAAATGGTAAGTCAATATAACCTACAAAATAGGATGTTGTTCAATAAAAAATGGAAAGATAATGAATTTGAATATCAAAAGACATTATAATTTTATTTTTTTTGGCGAATTTTTTGTTATTTCGATGTAGATTAACTAAAGCTGAAAAAACATATAATTTTTTACTTGTCGACCATTATTTTGTTTATTTTTTACTACGCATTATTTTGATACCGTATATTAAAGGTATATGTTCTGTTTCGTTGGTATTTAAAAAGTTAGTGGCATTCTATAAGAATATATACAATATATAAACATCACATATACAGTCTTGAAAACAACTACAGAGTTGTAGTCCGGGATACTATATCATTCGTGCACATATACATAATATAATCGTGTTATATACTACCTACAAAATATGAAGTTGTTCAAAAGGCATCACTTAATCGTGCTATATATAACCTACAAAATAGGAGGTTGTTCAATAAAAAATAAAAAGATAATGAATTTGAATTTCAAAAGACATTATCTTTTAACTATATACATTACACAATCCTGGGAACATATTTCATTGTAGATGAACTAAAGTTGAAAAAATAGGTAATTTTTTACTTTTAGATCTTTATTTTGTTTATTTTTTTACAACCTATTGTTTTGATACTAGATATTAAACGTATATGTTATGTTCGTTGACATTTAAAGTGTTACTGGCGTCCTACAAGAATATATACAATATATAAACATTACATATACAGTCTAGTCTTGAAAACAACTACAGAGTTGCAGCCCGATATATTGTAAGTATATCATTCGTGCACATATACATAACATATTCGTGTTATATACTTAATATGTTATCAATATATGTTGTATTTTTATTTACATATTTTTACCAACTGCTGAACAACACACGACAGAACTACCAATAAAAATAAAACAAAAAATATTAATATAAATATCAAAAAACAACATAAACAATGATCAACAATAAAAAAAAATACTCATTTGTTATCTTATATCAATTTTCTCATAAAAAAGTTCTGCAAAATACATAACATAAACTGTAAATATACATCAAATAAACATTGAAAACATATTCGATCGAGACTTGAGGCCAAAGCTCCCCAAAAAACTTCCATCCGGGAGAGAGAGCGGACGCCGGGGAGCCAACCAGACTAGCCTGGCCTGAAGTAATGTAAAATGTTAGATTACTTGCAATTAAACTTATAAACAAGTTGATAGTAAAATAACAAAATCATCCAGAAAAAAATATAGACCATAAACATAGAATAATACAAGCCTTCAACAGCTCCCCATTAATCATCGATTAATATTTTTATAACAAATATAATAGAAACCAACCTAGGCCAAATAAAGTACATGCTCATTGCTCGGCACTGCCAAGAGCCACCCAAGCTCCACCACCACCACTAACTCTCTTCGCCCGACAGAGTCAATTACATCGACCTTCAACTCCCAATACTCGATATGCACTAGTTGGATCCAGAGGGGCGGATGGAAAAAAAAAAAGAAGAAGAATGAAGTCACAGAAGGAAGATGAAGAAGATAATGAAAGAGAAGAAGATGAAGAGTTTTAATGTCACAAAAACTTGAAACGTTTTTTGTCAAAACATAATTCCATAAATAATATACAATTATTGATACCATCTGATTCTAGTAAAGATGCAAATATAAACATGATTTCTTGCTATATTGCTAATATTTTTAAACGGATTTTATTTATGTAATTAAAATTAAATTGTCTAGTGTAGGAGGTAATTTTCCCTTTATTTTATACTAACCCAATAAATAAATTAGATCTCAGTTAATATTTGTACTCTTAATTCGTATGATAATAAATTGGTGACTGTATTCGGTAATTACTTATCTGATTCACCAATGAGTAAGATTCATTTATTATATCAATAGTCTCTGGTAAGTAATATGTGTATACTAGTAATCAACTCGTGCATTTGCATGGAAAGCAAAATATTAGAAGAGTAATCAATACAAAAATATAAATAAAAATTTAAAATATAATTTAACCCATGACAAATTAAGAAAATAATTCCTAATATTATTTAACTTTTTTATATACAACGTTCATGGTTTTCCTATCATCATAATTTTCGTCGCCACAAATCATTATTTTCAAACCCTTCCGATTCGTGACTTTGGAAAGAGCCACGTACAACTTCAGACGATTGAAAATAGGGTTCTTCAGTACTAATACCACGTGTGATAGTGACTGGCCTTGACACTTATTGGGTCGTAGTATAAGAAACTATGACATGAAACTATCTCCGTTGAAACTTGAAGGGTACCCGCAAATCCGAATGAATGATTATGAGCCTAGGAATAAGAACCTTATAACCATCCCTAGAAGCAATTAAAATTCTGCATTCGAGGACATGTTGTTAAGCTTAGTAATAACCAAACTTTTACAGTTGCACAACTCCATGTAATGATGAGTGTTCCCTAGCAACATCACTATAGTGTCGACCTTCAAGTGCAATTTATGATTCGACAATCTCGAGCACTTACTCCGATCAAAAAATTCAGAGTATGCAGATCGTGTAAAGAGTCATGTCTATTACTGACTTGCAAGGGGTGTCTATGCTCCTTCTCTTATAGGAGTTCACTGAGGTCACGTACTTGTTAACGGACTCAACGACATCAATTGTGGGAGCGAGTATCGCGTTGTCCTTCAGATAACTAAGATCGTCGCCTGAACTGTTGAATATTGGGTAGGTACTCTCAATAGTAACAATAAGATCCCCTTGTGATTTTAAAATAATATCATAATGAATGTCAATATCGACACATTCGTCGTTCGATCCACCGAGTATTCCGTCTCCAGTGCTTGCAAGCCACTTTGAGAAGCGTCTCAGATCATCGCACTCATCACCCATACCAATGCTTAGAATCCTCATATTTTGAGTCAGTTCAGAACTGTACAATCCTGCCACAACTTGGATGAATTGATTGTGGTATTCTATGTCACTTCGATTGCCTTTAGAGACAAAGGGAAGAATTTGATAATAATAAAAAAAAAAAAAAAAAAACAACAACAACATATTTGCTGCCAAACGAAAGCTTTTTCCTCGATGGATCCACTATTTCCATTAAGACTCCTAAGGTATTTTCAACAATACTTATTTATTATTGGAGCTTCATCCCAAATGATCGAGCGACATCGTATTATAAATTCCGCCAAAGGCCTTTGTTGTCTAATTTCAGGTTGGGTTTGAACGTTTTGAAACAATAATTCGATCGATGTTGTCTTTAAAATATAACAAATAGATTAAATATTATATATAATAACATTATTTTATGAATTTATAAAATACAAAAATATCTTAAATAATAAAACTTGTCAATAAGCAAAATGGGGAGACTTCAAATCGCTCAAATCTTTAAAACTCTTGAATTTATACATGGATCTATGAAATCCTTGTATATAGTATATAGTTATAGTATATAACATATAGTATATAGTATATTGTATATAGTTTATAGTTTATAGTTTATATCTTATAGTTTATAGTATATAGTTTGTAGTTTATAATTTATAGTTTATATCTTATATCTTATATCTTATAGTTTATAGTTTATAGTTTATATCTTATATCTTATATCTTATATCTTATAGTTTATATCTTATAGTTTATATCTTATAGTTTATATCTTATATCTTAAATGTTATAGTTTATATCTTATATCTTATATCTTATAGTTTATATCTTATATCTTAAATGATATAGTTTATATCTTATTGTTTATATCTTATATCTTAAATGTTATAGTTTATATCTTATAGTTTATATCTTATAGTTTATATCTTATAGTTTATATCTTATATCTTATAGTTTATATCTTATATCTTATATCTTATATCTTATAGTTTATAGTTTATATCTTATAGTTTATAGTTTATAGTTTATATCTTATATCTTATAGTTTATATCTTATATCTTAAATGTTATAGTTTATATCTTATAGTTTATATCTTATATGTTTATAGTTTATAGTTTATAATTTATATCTTATATCTTATAGTTTATATATTATATCTTATAGTTTATATATTATATAGTATATGTTAAAATATGTTATAGAATATTATACTATATGTTATATACTATATACTATATATTATAATAATATATACTATATGTTAAAATATATATACATATATACAATATATTTAAAAAAAAAAATTAAAGAAACCGTATTTGCTGAATACGGTTTACAATTAAATCTTACAGAAACCGTATTCAGCAAATACGTTTTCTGTAAGATATAACCAAAAAAAATTCAGTCGTCTTCCTCACGACACAGAGAGACGAGAGAGCGAGCGAGAGACAGAGCGAAAAAAAAAAAATTTCGCCCACCCGAAAGCCGCCGAGACCGCCAAGAGCCACCGCCGCCGCGCCACTGCCGCCGTGCCACGACCGCCGTACCACCACCTCAACTGCAAATCGAACGGATCAATTAGGTAAAATGCCTAAATTTTTTTTAATTTTTTCAATAAATACGAATTATCATAATACGTTTTTAAGTTAGGATTTCATTAAAATTTGATGTTTTAGAGTGTTAGGGTTGATTAGAATTAGGGATTTTTCGGAATTATGACGTTAGGGTTTCGATTTAGAACTTCGAATTAGGGTTCGAAACTATAATGTTGTTGAAAATGTGAAATTGTGAATTATTGTGTGTACTATTGTGTGAATTAGTGTGTGAAGTTCGATTTTTCGGAATTAGGACTACAAATTGGACTTCGAATTGTGAAATTGTGGACTCGATTAGAATTAGGTGTTTCGCGAGTGTAGCCGAGAGCCGAGGCCGTTTGATTTTCATTATTTCGAGCCGATTAGTTTATTACGGAAGAAGCTAAAATGGAATTTAATTGAGTTGAGTTGCAAGTTATATTGAGCCTATTATTTTTCTAACAAATTACATATAATCCTTATAGTTTTTTTCTTAATTGTTTGTAGATAAATGGATTCATCATCCTCCTCACAGCCTCAGCAGTACAGTGTCCATCCCGGTCCGAGGGATGGCACTCTTCTATATCTCCAGTACCGCCACCGGTCGCAGGCGGTATTTAATAATGCGCCGGGAGCTCGTGACACGACGCTCTCAAACCGCCGTTTCGACACTCAGTTCTGGGCGGCTTTGTCAAGCCAGCCACGGTCGGTTTGGGATGTCATCGACCGGACTGGTTTCGGACCCTTGTTTCGAATGGGTCGAATCCAAGCCGACAACAGCCTTCTTACTGCTCTAGTGGAGAGGTGGCGCCCAGAGACGAATACCTTCCATTTCGATTTCGGCGAGGCCACCATCACGCTCCAGGACGTACAAGTCCTATTCGGTCTGCCAATCATTGGTGCTGCTGTTGTGGGAGTGACTAGAGATCTAACACCCCTACAGTGGCGAGAGAGGTGCAAGGAGTTGCTAGGGTACCAACCCTATGTCCAGGTATAATTTTTCATAGAATTTTGTTTAAATATATGTCAACTCAATTTTATATGTCAACTCAATTTTGTTTAAATATGGAAAAACAACTCTCAGGATCCTCCCACCACCGAGGAAGAGCAGGCAGCCCAAGATCCAAAATCTTGGGACATTAAAGGCCAGTATCTTAATGATGGCGGGTTGGAGGAGGAATGCAACCGTGTGTTGCAAGAAGGCCAACCGGACATCGTGTACGAGCAGAGGGCGAGGGCCCTTATCTTCTGGTGCATTGGGTCCTTCATCTTCCCCAACCAGCAGGCGAATGGCGTCCCACGTTACTGGATGGACCTGCCGCAGGACATAGATGCTGTTAAGGGGTACAGTTGGGGTTCAGCGCTCTTGGCTGGAGTGTATCGAGCGTTGTCAACCTCGTACAAGGCCAAGGAGAAGTGGCTGAAGAACTGCGTTCAATTGATCCAGGTAAGTTTATTTAATTGTTATTTGAAAATTTAATATTTTATTTTTTCTTACTTCGACTAATACCTAATACAAAAATTAATATCCATTTGTGTAGGTTTGAGCATGGGAGCATATCCCTCGTATTCGCCCAATAGTGAAGACCAGTGTGTTTGATAATCTGCCTGGTTGTCCATTGGGAGCGAGGTAATCACCGTTATTTTTATTTAATCCGTACATTTTTTCCATTATCAAATTTTGTGATTACAAACTTTTTTTTCTCTCTAATTTTTTCAAGGTGGAAGGGACCGAAAAAGAGGTCCAACATAGCCATGACATTGGCCGCTTACCGGGATCAGTTGACAGGGCTGGGAGAGTATGATGTAATATTCTTAATTCCTATTACTTGATTTATCTTTCTTTTTTTGTTTCTAATTTTGTAATAACTTAATTACTAATTCAATTGTTATTTTTTTACAGTTCGAATGGCAGCCCTACCAACAACACCTGCAGAATGATACTCTCCCGGAGGCGTGCTCAAGAGATCCACAATTATGGATGTACCGGGGGTGGATTTTCAGTTGGAACACCCGGGAGGTACACCTGCCTGACAGGGTCCTCCGTCAATTTGGGTGTCGCCAGTCCATCCCCCACGATCCGATCATTCTGGATGAGCGCGACTGGGACACACACCACAAGGGTCAGGGGATGACCGGGAGGGCGTTTTATGATTGGGCTGCATTCCATGTGCCGTTTCTGAGGTCGTGGACAGAAGAAATAGAACAACGTCTCCTCCCAGTTGCCCCCGTGCACGACTATCCACAGCCGGAGCAGGGTTACCTTGAATGGTTTCACAGCAGGACTGTGAGATTCATCAATAACCCTGGCAATTACTCGGTGTTCCAGCAGGCGGACGGGTATCAGCCACTTGCCGAGCGGTTAGGCTGTCAGGTCAGTGTTCATTATTTGTGTTTATTATTATTATTATTATTTTTTTTTTGCGTTTCGTATTAATTATTATGAATTTTATTTACAGACTTCTGCACTACAAGGGGTTTATGGCGCATTATCCGACATTCAACCATTAATGCCTCAAATCCCTCCAGAAGCGCAGACCGGCTTCCAACAGTCGTACAACTTTGCCTACTCTTCTATGACTGTTGGGGGCCAGGGTGTTCCACATGGGGGGCCGTCTAGTCAAGTTTTCTCCCAGGACGAATACGTTCCCCCCATGAGGACACAGTCACACACGGCCAGGCATCAACCCGCCCCCAACATTGGTGGGGGTAGAAGAGCTCGGGCCCGTCCCTGCGCTCAGCCGTCCGCCCAGCACCTCCAACCTGAGCAGCCCGAGCCTCAACAAGGTGAGATTTTTAAATTAGCATTTTTTTTTTATAGTTCAATTTATAATTTCTTTTTTCAATTGAATTACTCAGATGAAGAAGAGGAGGATGAGCAGACTTTTCAAACTGACACGCTTCTCACACCTCAACCTTCGTCTTCTTCTCACGTGGTATATACTCGGAGGGGGTCCATACCGCGCAAACCTACACAACCATTCACTCCTTCCTAGTTAGTTGTGTTGAATTTGTAGATTTTGTGTTTATTTTGAATTGTTGGATTGTCTGTATAAACCGAATTATATCGTTTTGTATATATTGTTTGTTCGGCAAATTATTGTGTTTCAATTTTTTGTTCGGCAAATTATGGTATGATGGATTTGGTTGTGAGCAGGTATATTTTTTTGTTGTGAACATGTGTATTTTTTTGTTGTAAACAGGTGCATTTGATAGTGAACAGGATTTTGTATAAAAACGTATTTGACTAATACGTTTTCTATTTTTTTAATACGAAAAACGTATTTCGTAAATACGTTTTCTGTTGAAATTAAAATTAGGGCAAAGAAAATCAATTTGGGGCAAAATTACAAAATAAAACGTATTTAGCAAATACGTTTTATATTCTAAAACTTTTTATCCCAAAAAAAATTATTTTCGCGAAATGAGAAAATTGATTTTATTTATAAAACGCATTTCTTAATGCTTCACCTTCCCCATAACTGCTAGGTCCCAGCATCTTCTCCTAGCTTTCTTGTTGCCCAGTGCCATTGCACTACTCTCAGCCACATTGTTCCTGCACATTTTCTCAGACAGCAGCTTGGAATAGGCTTTCTTCACAGAGAACTTCCCTTTGCATAAGAATGAGCAGTTCCATTTATCAGCTATTCTTGGATTCAGAGTTTGGATATCTAGGATTTTAGCAGCATCCTCTTCAGTGAACAAAACTCTGACTAATGTATGATCCCACTGCATTCCTCCTGCACTTAGCAAGTCTTTCACCTAGAATAAGTTCCCCTCAACTTCAACTCGCAGTTCAGGTTTCCTGCAGCTAACCCCTGGCACCCAATTCACCTCATTTATTCTAGTGGTTTGGCCATTTCTGATGACAAGATTTACCTGTTGTTTCAGCAAAGGAAGGTAGGAAGCCCAAGACTGCCACAACCAAGATGCATTCCCAGATTTTGCCCAGTAAAAAATGGAACAGTTTTTGAAATATTTACTCTTGATAACTCTGCACATCAGCAAGTCAGGCTGCTCAATAATTCTCCATACCTGTTTCATTATCAGAGCTTGATTAAAGAGCTTAATGTCCAGAAAACCCAGGCCCCCTTCATCCTTTGGAATAGACAATTTTTCCCAAGAAAGCCAATGCAAGTTCTGCTTCTGTTGGTCTCCCTTGTTCCACCAGAATTGAGCCACTAACCTGCATACTTCTTTACACAACCCAACAGGCAAAACAAAGCAAGACATAACATAAACTGGAAGAGCACATAACACAGACTTCACCAAGACTTCCTTGCCTGCAGTTGAAAGTAAAGAATTTTTCCAGCTACAAATCCTATCTCTAACAGCTTCCACCACAAACTGAAAAGTCTCAATTTTAAATGCCCCAATCCCTAAGGGTAACCCCAAATATCTAGATGACCTCTTTACCACAACACCATTAAGAATAGAAGAAATCCTCACCTTCAAATGCTCAGAACTGTTTTTGCTCAGAAATAAGGAGGATTTGAACAAATTCACTTTCTGACCAGTAAAAGTTTGGTATTTTTGAAGAATATCCAACAGCAACCTTGCATGATTCTCATCAGCTTTACAGAAGATAAGGGCATCATCAGCAAATAACAAGTGTGAAAGCATTGGCCCTTCTCTAGATACTTTAATACCCCTAAAACAGCCAGTGAGCATTTTATGTTGTAGATAAGCAGAGGACACTTCAGATATCAAAATGAACAGGTAAGGGGATAAAGGATCCCCTTGCCTAAGTCCTCTACTAGATGTAACATATCCACAAACTCTGCCATTCAAGTTAAAAGAGAAGGTAGGACAAGATATGCAGTTAATAATCCAGTGAACAAACTTCCCATGAAATCCCATTTTTCCCATAACCTTTCTAACACACTCCCATTCCACACGGTCATATGCCTTCTCCATGTCAAGTTTGACTGCCATGAACACATTTGGCCCAGAAACATGTCTATGAAGGAAATGAAAAACTTCATGGGCAATAACTATATTATCCAATAATAATCTACCAGGAACAAAAGCTGTCTGGGCTTGACTCACACAAACATCCAAACAGCATTTCAGTCTCTCAGCCAAAATCTTAGCAATAATTTTATACAAAACACCACATAAACTTATAGGCCTGTAATTGCTTAGCTTGTCAGGATACATACATTTAGGGATAAGAGTTATAATAGTATGTTTCCAATTCTTCAGTAAGTGGCCAGACCTAAAAAAACTACACACAGCCTTGCAAACATCATCTTTCACAATGTGCCAAAATTTTTGAAAAAACAGAGCAGACATACCATCATCCCCAGGGGCTTTCTCAGGAGCCATGCTAAACACTGCAGCCTTTATTTCCTCCTCATTCACAGCTCTGACAAGATCATTATTTAGAGCCTCTGAAATGGAGTGTGGAATATGTTGAAGAAGTTCATCACCTCCACTGGAACCCTCAGAAGAGAATAAATCAGAGTAAAAATTTGATATATGCCTCTCCATGGTCTCATAAGTATCACAGACAGCACCAGAAGGGGTAATAAGTTTGGTAATAGTATTTGATCTCCTTCTCTGGGATGTAAAAGCATGAAAAAATCTTGAATTTCGATCCCCAGCTTTCAGCCATAGTGCTCTAGATTTAACCCTCCAGTACATTTCCTCTTCCTGATAAGCATTGTCCAGCTCAAATTTCAGAGCTGCCCATTCTTCCCAATCTCTGTCTTTCCCAGCAGCCCTCATCTCTTCTAACTTTGCAGTGGTAGCGGATATGATTCTTTCACTATTTCTGTGTTGAGGCTTGTGCCAGGCAAGAAGAGCCATTCTGGTACTTTTCACTTTCTGGTGCACTTGGAACATATAAGACCCTTCAACTTGCACAGTCCATCCTTCTTGTACAGCATCTTGCACTCCTTCTAAAACTGCCCATTGTCTGCTGAAAGAAAACCTTTTGTGTCTCCTGGCAATCTCTTTATCAGTGTCAATAAACAGAATATTATGGTCTGAGGCTGATCTATAGTAGTTTGATGCCTCCATATTAGGAAAAGTGGTCAGCCAATCATAAGACACAAATATTTTGTCTAATCTCTCCTCCACATATCCATCATTTGCTCTGTTATTACCCCAAGTGTAAAACGACCCCTTCTGAGCCACTTCATGCATCTGCATATTCATAATAAACTGTTGAAACCCAACAAAACTACTAGCACTCCTTCTCACACCCCCCCTTTTCTCCTCATTACAAACTATGTCATTCCAGTCACCTGCTATCATCCAGCATTGTCCCCATTTAACCTTACTAGCTTCAAGAAATTCCCATTGATGATTTCTTTCCCTTCTATCAGTGCTCAGATACACAAAAACCAACCAATACCCTGCTGACATATTAGTCTCTCTCACTTCCACTTGACAGCAAAACTCACTCCCCAGAATTTGGATAATCTCAATATTAGGATCCCATAGAAGCAATAAACCACCTCTTGTCCCAATAGGTTTTTCCAAATGCCATCGATCCTGGAATCCCAACTTCCTACACACAGTCCGAGTAAATTGAACAGATTTCTTAGTCTCAGATAAAAAGATAATATTTGGGTGATGAATTCTCCTCGAATCCTTGATCTGGGAAACTGTCGAGGGCCCACCCAAACCTCGACAGTTCCACACCATGACCTTCATTGATCACTGTGGGGCCATTTTTGGCTGGCCTTCTCCACCAAATATTGTCCACCATTTCCTTTCATTCTCTTCTCAGAACCTCCTCCTTCTTCTGGTTGGCCCCCCTCATAGATTATCAGAGCTCTGCTTCTCTTCATAGAACCTTTTTCATGTGGGGTGCAGGAGGTTTCAGGAATAGATATCACATTCCTCTGTGATGGTACTCTTCTTCTCCACCCAATATCTGGCTTCTTTCTCAGATTATAGGTACACACAGTGCTCTGACCAAAGATCTCAGGAACTACCTTGTCTGTCTGTGTTTCTTCTATTATCATTGCCTCTTTACCAGAACCACCCACTTCCTGTTCATGGCTCTGTGATAGCTGTGGACATCCAACATTCCCAGGGCTTTCCCCTAGTTGTTTAGAACTATCTCCCCTAGCCTCATGGCTCTTTATTTGCTCTGGACCTGCTCCATGTTGGTTAGCATTTGCTGATACCCATGATTCCTGAACAGGACTCCTATTAAGTGGAGAATCTTTTTCATCTGGGCTGTCAGATTGCAAACTTCTACCCCCTGGATATGTCTCAGCAGTCTTTAGCCACTCACCAAATTGGCCAGCAAGTACACAATCATTTTCAATATCTTCTCCCTTCTTAATACAATTCCTCTCCAGATGCCCAATCCTCCCACAATAGTAGCACAGATTGACAAGCTTCTCATATCTGAACATCACCATTGCCCTTTGATTCCTCAACTTAATAGATGTGCATCGCGGGATAGCCTCATTTATATTAATAACCACCAGCAGCTTCAAAAAACTTCCCACATCTCCCCCAACCTTGCATACAACCACATTCTTTACTTTGCTAAAGATCTTACCCACTTTCAGACCTACTTCATTACTCATCCAATTTAAGGGCACATTCAACACTTGGACCCACAAGGTTATCTCCTCGAAACAACAGTGCTTGCTATGTAAACCCGGAAACCACTCTTTTAAGATTAAATATTGGTTTTCATACATCCAGTTGAAACCGGCGGCTACTTTCTTCTTATCCTCTTGAGATAGAAAAATGAATTGGAAGAAGTTTGCACTGATTTCCTTTACCTCCATGGTATGCTGCAGTCTCCATATTGCGCCCATCGTTCGTTTAATGCCCAACAGACCTGCGTGCCTATCACCCACTACCTTGCCAAAAAGACTCCGCGCACACTCCTCTTCACTGGCTACAATGTCATCCTCTTTGATTTCCACCTCGCCTGCTTCCTTAGCTGATAGCGACATCGTTATTAATTTTCTCAATACTCCTTCGTCAACCTCCCTGGCATCATTACCCCCTATATCTTTTCCCTCCATTGTTATGCCGACACTTTACCCCTTTCGTCCCCAATAAACCTAATCCTACAAGATCGAAATTTGATTGAAAACCTCCCGAATCCCTCAAACGAAGGAATTCAGCTCTCACCCAAGAAAATTTCGCTCTCACCCAAGATAATTTCGCTCTCACCTGAGAGAATTTTGAATAACACTAAGGATTCTGCAGGGTTTGTGGTGAAAAGGAGGAAACTCTGGAACATACTCTATTTCAGTGTAGGAAAGCAAGGGTTGTTTGGCAGCTGTCTCCTGTAATTTGGAACAGAGTTCCCCATGAGAGGATGACTTTTAAACATTGGTGGTGGTGGGTTAGTACCATGCCAATGAATGACACTTCTATTTATAAAACGCATTTCTTAAATACGTTTTATAATTAAAAAAATAATATTAAATTAATTTTAATATAAAAACGTATTTATTTAATATGTATTGTAGTTTTTGAATATAAAACGTATTCAGCAAATACGTTTTGCTATAAGTTAATTGCGTTGATTACGATAATTAACTTTAATAATTTTTGTTTACGGAAAACGTATTCACTAAATACGTTTTATAATTGAAACCGTATTTAGCAAATACGGTTTATAAAAGAAAACGTATTCAGTGAATACGGGCTTTCTATTTTGGTCCACTAGATTTTTTTTTCTTTCTTTTTTGTCCAGTTCATTTTTTGTTTTTGTTTTAAGGAAATAAATCTCCTCCTACTCTTAGTCTTACATTGTAAGGTAGAGGGATATTTTTTTTTTTCTATTCTTTCATTTTAAAGTTCAGGTTTAAATAATCGATTATCGAGAATTGTGGTTTTATTTTGAATGAAAATAGATGGTTGAGATAGACAATGGTGACATTAACTTATTAAGGTGTTCTAATCTATTACTTTAAGGTATAATTATGCATGTGATATTAAGAATTGTGAACATGCACTTATTCTATTTTTACTTATTAACTCAACTTCTAAATCTGATGTGGGAATAACAACGCGGAGTAAACGAATAACTAAAAAAAAAATCAACTCCACAATCAATAGTGGTCGTGTTGTGCACGGGCAGATACCTCCTAGTATACATATATACAAACACACTGCAACATTCTTCAAACCCGAACAAGAAGATTCTTATAATAGACATTGTGATTTAATCTTCTTGATGATATCGTATATCAGTAGCTAAAAAGTAGAACCTTTCCCCTCAAAATATGCTGCTCAAGAAGCCCCTATAAAGATGTCATACGCCTTTCTCAGCATCAAATGGCAATTACATGATATGATTGATCTTAAAAGTAATATGAAGAAAAAGAAAAAAGGACTTGGCTGCTAGGTGCACAAATTGTACTTCTATGAATTTATTTATTTTAACTAGAAGATGATAATTTTTTTTTTTTCTTTTGTTGCCTTTTAGAGTTTTGAAACACGATGTAAACATCCTTACCATATTCCCGTTGCTCTTTTAGCTTGATCTCTGCAAATAGCAATCGTAAAATGATCAGAATCCAGTTTTTCTTTAGCAAATGTCACTGCTACTGTTACTCATTTACCTGGATTTTCCTTCGAATGCATCATTAATTTCTTCGCCACTTGGTCTTTTCACGAATTTTGACAAGATAACATATTTCTCTTTCTTTGGAGACTCATCCACCCTCTTGTACAACTCGTACTCGTATGGGTAACACATTCTGATAACACAAGCACCACTCTTAGTAAGCTTGCCGAACATAACATAATTCATGCACGTTATTCAACAAATTAACCATGGCTTGAATTAGTTTTAGGCTGAACTTCAGGTAAGTAATGCCATTGTTGATTGCGTATGCAAGTAAGATTTATAGTGAAGCTAAGACGAGTCATAGCACAGAATCGGACAGTCCAGGCAAAAAGATAACTGAACAGTATGTACGATACTTGTACTTTCTAAAAGGTAACTACTGAAAAAAAAAAAGATCATATCAAAATAATAATGAATAACATCAAACAAGAAGATATCAATCATCATTAACAAAAGCTCAAGGGAAATTGGTCAATAATGTCAGCAAGATGATTGGCACTCATGATAGATAGTTCAAAAATNAGTGTCCTGAGGGCCCTTAGGGACATGCAGAGGTGGAAGGGACGCTGAAATCACAATTATATTTCATTTCGTTAAAATTTTAATTTCACAATAACAGTTACAAGTAAATGGTCAGAAAAAAGAAAATGAAAAAAAAAAGTGATGAAAAAACTAAAGACCAATTTAGACACCAGAATTCACGAGGAGAAAAACATCTGCCTCTCGCCTATGCATGGCCTAAAGATTAATCAACAATAAGATGATACATATTTTTTGTTAGTGATATTTTACCTGAGAGCACCCATGATAGGATATTGGGTCCCGGCATAGTAGAGTAATCGGAAGAAGTAGCAAATCCCAAATGAAGCAGCATACTCTAATCTCTTCTCTCGACCCATCGTCTAGTGGATAAACTATATATAAGGAAGTCCATGACAAAATAAAGAAAAATGCCATTGCAATTACTTGTTGCCTTTCATACTTACTTGCATAATACCACTTGAGCCTGGTACATCCTAACAATTCATAAATGCAATTTCGTCAGTTTTCCTGTTATACAATCAGAACCAATACAATGATATTTACAGAAGAGGAGAAATGTGTTTTAGAAAGGCTATCAGGTAGTGTTTTGGAATTTATTTTGACCATTTAGAACCAATATAATGATATTTACAGAAGAGGAGAAATGTGTTTTAGAAAGGCTATCAGTTAGTGTTTTGGAATTTATTTTGATCATTTTGACAGTGCCTCAGGTGGAACATGATGTTGTTTCCAGCCATACATACTTGCTAAATTTTATGAACCAACATTTAAACTTGATATAGACAAAATCCAATCTGTTGAAATGGAAAGTCTTCGAAGAGCAAAAAACTCAATAGAGATAACAGAAGGTAATTACAGATGCTCTCTGTGCTTACTACCCTAAGCTGGCTTTATTTTTACTGCAAGTATTATCTCGAGTAAGTCATTTCAGCATATCCTTTCATTGACTTAGATTCTTAATGCTGAAATTATGGTGAATCTTTGTTAGCTTATTAATCACTTAAAATTAATCAATCCTCACGTTTCCCAGGAGTTACTCAATGGTGAAACATTCTATTTGTTGGTAGAATCGGGATGCTTATAATAAAGATATATGTTAACCTCAAGTGCAGATTATATCAGGAATGGGAGAAATCAAAATGGACAAAGTGTGTATTCTTGGCTTGATATCGATTATGAGCCAGCTCAAGCAAAGGTCCATCTTGCAGAGGAGAGGGCACATAGTCGGCAACATGTTATTTAAAGTATTATTTTGTTAACAAGTTTTGGCAAATTTTCACATATGGTGTCATACTATTATATTATCTTTTTGCCAAACCTAGCGTTTGATATCAAGCTTCGTAATTAGGTAGTATTTTGTAGGTCAAATAGTCTACCTAGTCTTCAGTTGAGACAAAAAATTCATTAGTACTTTACTTTCTGAGGACAAGGTTTCACATTGTATTATTTTTTCAAAACGGGTTAAAGCATAAGGTTGATTGCACACTTCAAGTTGAACATGGGTGGAAGTTTCTAAAATAATAAAAAGTTGAAACCTAGCCAAGCTGATTTTGCGTTTTAGTCGACCAACTGTTGTTTAAAATTCTTCATACGACATATTCATGTTTGGCCTGAAATCCAAAACCCATAAATAACCTCCTTCCAGTCATTGGTTATCTGGAACCCACTTCAATAATGTGCTCAGTGCAATTGGCCATCTTGCAATCTATAAAAAGTTCAGGCCTAATTTTCCGAAGAATTACCCCAGCTTTTCTTGGTTGCATATACGGTTAAGTAACCAAGTAAAATACAATGATAAACCTATTTACAGAAGCTCATTATTATTATTGGATATTTATTTTACTCAAAGAACTTGTGCCGGAGGAATTTACTATTTATCTACAGTTAAGGGTAATAAAAATATATGCAACGGGAGAAGGCTGAGGGTAAAACTTAATTACTTTCAGTTGCTCGACCTCATACAAGAAATATCCATTCTGATGCACAAATAAATGAGTACCTCAGGTATGATCGGGAAAACTAACCTTCAACCTAGGATTGACAAGAATGACTGGACGATGAGCAGCAGCATCAGTCATGGCCTTCAAATCCTGCATCATTCAAATTTCAACAATTGTGACTTTACTGGCATTATATATATTATATATGTTTTAAGTCTTTAATTAATTTAATACAAAAATGCGACTATTATCAGGTTCCTTACATCAATAATACAATTTCCTATTGCATTTTGTGGAGCCACTAAGATAAACATATCATCCTGCTCTTCAACCTCACTGCCACCTGCATAATCAAATAAAGACCTTCACGCTGACTTCAGCAAATGGAATAAGAAAAATATCCGGTGCAGTTAATTAAAAATATCCTATAGTACCATGGGCGGTGTAGGGTGTGCTGAAAAGCAGTAATATAATTCAGCAACAACAGCAATGGATTTATTTAATCAGGAATAGAATAAATGCAGTTGGTTATGTTTGGCAGGACCAGTATTGAAAATTGGGAACGAGAGCATGAACATGAATTGTATTTTACATCTTTACTAAGCAACAGAATATACAAAGCCATTCCTTTCCAAAAACTCACATCATGCAGCTTTTATGACAATATCCTACTGTAGAACTCCAAAAGTCAACTGTCATACTAGTCCTGATTACAAAAAATAAATAACCACGGATTGCAACAACCTTGAAATGTTGAACAGCTAAATTCCCTGTGTTAACTGTAGATGGAGTTAAGAAAATCCGTACCTATTGAGCCAATGTTGATAAAGGTACCCATGGCACCATCATCACCCCAATCCATGAACTCTAAAATCTTCCGACTTCCAGCCAATTGCAGTGGCATACCAGCTAGGGCACCTTCTCCCATGGACCCTTGGACACAAACCTAAAAGAAAATGTAACACATTGCCAGATCTACTTAAATTATGTGAATAAGGGGTAAAGTGCATGGATGAACCTTGACACGTTTTCCATCATCAGCAAAGGAAAGGGCCAGAATACGGACAAGCTCCATTAAGGTACCTATTCGATAAACATCCTGAACAAGAAATCATTGGCTCTAAATGTCTTGAGAAAAATTAAAGAACAAAAATGAAAAAGGGAGGATATCTGTTACCATTTCCGGGTTGAGCTCCGGTATACTGATTTCCACCTTCAGTTCGAAACAGTAAATTTATTAATTAGGGAACAATCCTTCAGGGTGCAAAAAGAAACCAATAAACTTCAAAGGAGTGCATATTCACAAGAAAAAAAAATGGCAAATGGTGTTCCTAAGAATAAGAAATAAGACAGCACCCACAAATTATATGTGCCATAGGAAGACATTTTCCACTCAAGATTCATAGAAAACAGGTGGAATATTCTTTGAAAAATGCAACAAAAAAAGAAAGAAAGAAATAAAGCAATTTAACCTATATAACTGCACCTCCTCAGGAAAAAGATTGCAGTATGATATGGTATACAACCTTTAAACGAGTTTTTCCATCTCTCACTGCACTTTGTGTGGCATACAACACATCATCATAAAAATATTTCCTGATTTCTCTAGAGTGAGGAATGTTGTTCAATCTCGTTGGTATACCTCTCCAATTTTCCTGCAGTAGTTAACAACCCAATGAGTGAAACTATAAACTATCAATTATCTTATCAATTTCCCAAAGAAGTTTTAACAGTTTTGATTCAAGTAACCATTTCCAGAGATGACTTATCAGACTGGGTGTTGTGGCTTGCCAATTTACCTGTGGAAAAGTCAATTAAGTTCAATCTGTCAGAAGCAGTCACTGATATTTGGTAAATAACAAACTGGCAATGTTTGAAAAGGTTCAAGTCATTTAAAATGAGAAGACGGCAAGGAAAAACAGTTCAATATTATAATTTCTTTTGCACATAGTTCTCAATGAGAGAGGGAATATCCAAAAAGGAAAAAAATGTAACTGCCAGAAAAAAGAGTGAGCAGGCACAAGATATTGCGGTAAACCTCTTATGAAACCGTCCACATAAGTTGTACTTGTGACGGTCATGAATTTTTAAGCACTTACCAACACTTTTTAAGTCAAAAGTCATACTTACTATTAACATTTTTTAGACAAATTTTGAGAAGTACAATATAACTTGTTTCTTTTCACCACAAAAGTATGATTTTCTTGAAAAGTATGACAGTTATAAGTAACACATACATCAGATTGTCTCACGCTAGCTTCACCATACATAGAGCAATAACAAATTTGAAATTGGACCTGAATTTGATTCTTCTTCTTTGTCTTTCTGTAATCCAGACAACAGAGTCTCTATCTCTTGAAAAACCACTTCCTTAGAACGGTTTCCATCAATCTGTAGACAGTAAAAACAAGCGCATTAGAAGGAACCAGGTAAAATGAAATTTCTAAGAAACTATATCATCTAGTTTTTCAATACCTTAATCATCACATCTGAGTATGTCGATAATATAGAATTTACATTTTGCTTATATATTTCCAGGCGTGACTTCACCTAAGAATCAATTGAAACATTTACCGTCAATAAGATGCAAATATTGCATATATCTCAGTACATACCCAGGTAAGAACTAACATTAGTTGTCTATTTTTCTCACCCAGCTTTTTATGCACCAACAGATCCTTGAATTATATCAGCATAAGAACGGGTCATCATTATGACTAAGGTTATCAAAATATTTTAAAAGCCAAGAAAGGAAATAAAATTGCATCTCTTTCAATATTGAATCCAAGTAGTGTAGAAGATCAAATTTTGCTTTCATGTTTCTAAGAGCATTGTTATCTGCGAAGGTTTGAGGAGGTCTAAAATCTTGATACTAGAGGTTTATGAACAAAAATGTGATATTTGATGTTTACAAATACAAACCTGGTTTACCTAACAAAACCACCCAAAAAAAACCTCACTAAAAGAGAATAAAGGGGTTAAAGAAGGGAGGGTGCAGTGAAGCGCTGCACTCGTAGTGGTGTCACTACGAGTGCAGCGCTTCACTGCACTCTCCCTTCTTTTACCAGGTTGTGCATTGCATGTACCTCAAGTAAAGTGAGGCTCGCAGGCCTCCATTATTTATTTATATTTTTTTATTTTTCCTTCCTACTCCGTTTTCCTCTTTCCTCTTTTATGCTTGAATTTAGTGTTTTATTTTTTCTCTAATTTATATATTGTGTGACTCAATTTTTCATTTTGTGCTTTTAATTGTTCAGTAAACTACTACCTGTGTATATTCTAATTCTTTAAAATTGTGTAATAAATTAATTTGTATCTCTATTCTTAAATTAATGTTTTGGTAATTAATATAGCAAACATTCACATTTACACATGAATCTTTATTTAAATTAAGTCTAATGGCATTTCACTATACACTGATTACATAATATAATGAAGTTATTGGTCAAAATATTGAAGTTCTGTAGTTGTAGGCATACATTTTATATTATGACGATGTGGTGCATTGGGAATTGACTAAGGAGCTCTATGAAGGTCTACAAGTAAGATGCCTAAGATGAATGTTATGATCCTTTATCACGTCTTAAATGTAAAAGAAATACCCAGCAATTGCTTCAGTATCTTTGGACCATATCCAGGTTTAAAAATGATCAATATAGCGTCTGGAGACTCTAGTGTTGCATCTTTCCTAAACACAAGTGAACTATACTAAGTGCCAGACAACTTTTGTCTTGGCTTCTCTTCAAGAATGCAAGTTAACTGCTCAATCTCTGCCAAGAAGAAATTTCAGAACCTTGTTCAACTAGGGAATGGTTCTTAGAGTTTCCATTTCCATGCTTTATGGATCAATTTAAAACATCAAAATAAATCCTCACATAAAACTGTACAACATCGATATTTTCCAGGTTGAGATACCTTTTCTTCTGTGTCATCGGGACGGATAACAAGCCTTGCTTTAACTTCCTCATTTTCTGGTGGGAAGTTCCTTATATGATAGATCTTTCCTCTTACAGGATCCTTTCTTCTCCCAATACATCGGTCAATTAGGATATCATCAGGTACCTGAAGAAATGATGATCTTGTCCCATTAAACTTCCTGAAAGACACTATTACTTAGGCTAGTATCAGAGTAAGGTACTGTATTCCTAATGTTATTTGCTTGGCCTTTTAGGGGGTAAAAGAAAAGAAAAACGAGGACTTCATTGAGGATTATGATAAACTAAACCTAATTATCATAATCCCACCGAATTTGGAAAATGACAACTTACTAGATACTTTTTTTAATGAATGTAACCAGTGTAACTCTCCCTGAGATTTAGAAACCATATCTTACATAAGGTTTATGTTTTCCCCTTCACATACAAGAAATCTCATGCTTATCCCCTATAGACAACAACCAATGAAAACAACAATGATCTATATGGAAAGAACTGTCAGGCATTCATATAAAAGAAGACAGGCCATAAATATCCCGTAATGTCTATTTTTGTTAGTTTAGTAAGTCACTAAGACAGCTCTTGCAAAGTATCAAAACCTCCACTCCCCTAAACAACAATTATTTTCTTTGGACTATCTAAGCATAGGAGTAACTAAGAGTTCAAAATTCATGCTGAAAAAGACTGCAGAAGTCAGGTATAATTTCAGACTACAGAAGTCAGGTATAATCTGAAATCTTGATTCAGAATGTCAAAAATTCAACAAACCTATTCAACTAAAGCTAGTACAATGAGTTGCAATATTGCTGAAAATGTTTTAGCAAGTGCTCTTATGATAAAAAAAAATCTTTATCAATTAAGTTATCTTGTTCATTTTGAATCAAGTAGAGGTTCAATCAACTTCATCATAGTTCAAGACTCCAAGTGATTTGAGAAATTAGACCTTTAGCATTCAAAAGGGCGTAATGATACATACATCAAGAATAATGTAAATGTCAGGCCTAATATTAAGTTTTTCCAAACTCTCGGCTTGGGCGGAATTTCTTGGGTACCCATCCAGAAGCCATCCTTTCTCCTTTACATCTTTCAGTGACAACCGGGCTGTCACCATCTACAAAATGAAGTGTTAATGTTACACATTTAAAATGGTAACATAGAAACTAGAAAATATCCTTGAAACAATTCCATACAGCTGTGACAATTTCATCTGGAACCAAACGACCATTATCCATGTACTCCTTTGCTTTGTTCCCAATTTCTGTACCAGCCGATACTTCAGCTCGTAGAATATCGCCAGTCGAAATGTGTACAAATCCAAACTGCAATATGCCAAAGAGGGGGTTACAAAAATGAAATGTAAAAGGAAAAAGAATCGAGATTCGTTATTTAGTAACAATATGTTAATCGCTAGATATAGTAGAAACTAGAGAACCCTCAACCAGACAGTCAAAAGTTGGGAAAGCTAAAATATGTTCCGATTCAATCAGCTTAGTACGACCACGATTGTTTACTAAGATTCATCTTCTTTCCTAGGCAAGGAAATTACTGGTGCAGAACATAAGGCATGATATATTCAAAAGAAAATGGATAACAACTTATAAGAAACCAAATACATATAGAGAGTTGAATTTTTGCCCACAAATTATTTAAGATGATGACTCCAAGGAAAAATATCGCTAATGTGTTGTTGCTAGAAAATTACGAAGCCAATATGTTTATGACACACTTACGTGTCTTCTCTTGATCCATATGACCCGCTCATGCTCACCACACCCACAAATTGGATCATTATTCGACTTTGTACATTAATATACCATAAGAACCACCTATGATTTTTGGATTTGGTCTTTGAAAATGAAACTAAATACTCGACCAAAAATCATTATCAGAAGACTAACCATCTACAAGCTACAAGACAACTCCATTTATGTATATTTGTCTAGGTCGTTCAAGATGTCTCTAGCAATGCCATAACTGATATTAGCAAAATTTCATTTCAGGTTCTTTTTCCATGAGATAAAGAAAGAATCATTCCTTGAAGGAGTGTTTGTGCAACTTCAGTATCATCAAGATTCAAATAGACTGATCAATTTACCTTCTCAGCAATCTTCTCACACTGAGTTCCTTTCCCAGAAGCTGGGGCTCCTGAAATCATCACTTTCATTGGCCCACTTTGTGCGCTTAGAACCTTCAGTACCTGCACCAACGGTCTTCATATATGTATGAGAGAGAGAGAGAGAGAGAGATGTAAACCTAAATAGATTATTGAAAAGGTTATGTTACATTTACCAAACAGCAATACACAGGTTGGGGATCTAGCCTAAGTCATCCACCCACATGGGGATGCATAATCCCAAAAAAGAAAGAAAAAAAGAAAAAACAAAAAAACAAAAAACAAGCGTTCATTTACCAATAACTATGTCAAGGGTTCAGGTTTTATGATACCTTTCAGAAATATCAACATCTAAAATGATGAAACACTCACACACACACTCACATTAATATAAATTACAATTTAATGCACCAAAATCACACAGCATTAGCCCATTTCTTGACAAATTGAAGCGCATCCATATACATCTACAACACCCAGGGAGAAATGGGCGTCAAGACACGAATATAAACAAGAAATATAAACAAAAATGACAAAACAAAGCACATTAGGGTATAACGCAACAAGAAAGCACCATAATGAAAATTTAATCACAATTGCACTTATATTATACATACGGTCAGAGACCCTAAACAACATTGAAACATTATGGTGACACAGAATACATCATGATGACACAAATTGATAATACGATTGAAATCTTGACAAATAACTCGAAATTCCATTATTAATTTGAACAGAAAACTCTGCACCAGCACCTGGACCCAAAGTAACATTTTAGGCATATGAACATGAAATTCAAAGAAGTTCACCCAAGTTTACTCCGTCCTGTGAAATTTTCTTTATATGTCAATTTCCCACGCTTCATCTGTGAAGCCCATCATCTCAATTATCTTTTAATCTAAAATAACTTTGAGAAGAACCGAATACAGAGCTTTATGACCACCAAACATAGAATGTGCGTACATAGCTTAAAAGAAGTAAGGATGAGACCTTTCTTGTAGGCTTTGTCTTCGTACCACCATGGGCGCTCGCATGACGATACTGTGATGTACGCAGAAGAGGAGATGAACTGTAGAGAGAAGACGAAGAAATAGAGGGCGGGGAAAAGGAGGGTTTGGGTAGAGAAGCGAATTTAGGAGTTAAAGGGAGATCGAGGCAGAGACTGTGGGTTGAGGAAGGGGTGCAGGTCGACGACATGGCTGTAAGTTCACGCACTGAGTGTGGGAAGTGTGTGAGGAAGAGAGCGGCATATGATGAGTGGGCTGAAATTAACGGACAAACTGCCGCCAGCGGCTGCAAATTGCAGCAAATCCATTAATATTGTTTTGATAGTTTTTTAACTTTACTAGTACGCGACCCGCGCGTTGCGTGGCTTGACATTAAAAATAATTTGGGTGAATTATAATTTAATATACATAAAATATGTATAGAGTTAATAAAAAGTATGATAAATATTTTATTTAATATATTTAAGATATTCTCCAGAATATAATCTTAGTAATCGACGGTATTTATTATGACTATTATCATCTCGGTGATTTATTAAAAAAAATTTAAAAAATAAGTGGACAAAAAAAAATGAAAAAAATGGGGTAGCCTGAAATCAAAAATACGTATTTACAAAATACGTTTTCGTAATGATAATTTTTTAGTAAACCGTTCCTTGAATACGTTTTTTAATTAAATTTGTTTAATTCTTTGAAAAATATATTGCCGAAAATTGTATATCCAATTTTAATTTAAAACCATATTTAAGAAATACGTTTTCTTGAAAACCCCAAATCAATTTGAAACCCTAAATTAATTTTAAACCCTAATTCAATTTACTATAAATAAATTTGAGTAAAACGTATAACTGAAATACGGTTTTTACGTAAATTAATTTTTTAAAACGTATTTCATTAATACGGTTTTTATCGTAAATTAAGAAAAATTTAAATTAATAAAAAAAACGTATTTCAGAAATACGGTTTCATAATATAATTAAAAAAAATTAAAAACGTATTTGCAAAATACGGTTTTTAACAAAATATAAGTACGAAAAAATCTTCTCCTCCACCACTCTGCGCGAACAACAAAACAGAAGCAGAAGAAAAAAACCTCATACTCCATATTCACCTCAAAAGTAAGAAAAAAAGAAACTTTTAACAATCAATCGATTCGGAGAAAAGGTTAGTTGTTATTTTAATGTAATGTAATTACATTATTTTTGTTGTTTATGAATGTGTAAGAAATATTTGTTGGTGTTGATGAGTATAGTTTAGAAAAGATTTATTGTTGATTTAATAGTTGTGTTAAATGATTATACATTGTTCTTGGATGATGGGTTTCGGTGTATGTTGAGATTTTTTTCGAAAATTGGATGATTTGTATTGTATGGTTGGATTATGAGAATTAGGGTTTTGGAGAGTTATTTTATAAAAGAATTGGTAATTTTTTTTTTTCGTTATTGTAGTATCAATTGGAAATATTTATCTTGATTTGAGTAAAAAAATCATTGAATTTTCAATTTTTATTTTTTGTTGGGGATGATAAAAGAATAATTGAATTTTTTGGAAAATTATGTGTTGTTGTAATTGAGAAGAATTGAAAGTGTATTATATGTTATTGATGGATTATGAGTATTAGGGTTTGTGAGGATTATTTGATAAAAGAATTTGTGATTTTATTTATAATGTTGTAGTATTAATTGAAATTTAATTTTAGTAAAAAAAAATTAAATTTTATTTTTTGGTTGTAGGAAGGATAAAAGAATAATTGCATTTTTTGGGTGTTGGGTTAGAAAGTATGTGTTGTTGTAATTGGGAAGAATTGAAAGTGTTTT